TTTTGCTTTAGCGTTGCGAATTATGATACCGCGATTGTCTTTTGCAACTTTGGTTTTGTATTTTTATAATTGTCTTAGTGTTTTACATAATAAAATTTATCTTACATTCTATTGTTTTAAATTAAATTATGTAGTTATTGCTTTTAATTAATTTTAGAGTGTTAGAGTACTTGAAGTAACTTTTCGTTCGTATAGTTTTGTATTGTTCATAATAATTATCATTGAATTTTGTTTTAGAGTTAGTGTTGCGATATTAATTATTTCGTCGCGATTTCCAATTACATTTTGTCTTTCAATTAGTGTTGCGATAATGAGTGATCTCGTTTCTTGAAGTAGTGTTGCGTTTACAAAATGCCCAAGTTCTTCCACTAAATTCGTGGAAGACTGTTCCTGTTCACCTGGATCATTTGATGCAGTTACAAGAGCTGTACAAAGATGGTCATTCATCAACCTCCAGCATGGTTGCACTTGGTGTTGTCGCAGTTAGTGTTGCGCACTTTTAAACATGAGTGCACTGATTAATAACGTTGCGTACTTTCGTATTTTCAGAAGTTTTAAACATAACAAGGCACTTTTCGCGTTTGATTTGAAAAATTTCCTGTATGACAATTAATGGTAGAGAATTAGTATTACGAAACAAGAGACGGTTTGTTGCGCGATTTTATTAATCGTTTTAAGTTTCTTAGGTTTGTTTTAGGTACAAATCATGGAGCGGCAGAAGATTTTTCAACAAAATGATAAATCATCAATAGAAGATTTCATGTAACATTCACAAAATATTTCTTTGTTTCTTTTGAATTATAGTTACGTATTTATATGAATAAAATGAATAAAGGTTACTTTTTGTGGAGATGTTAGACTAAGTTAGACTTAATCGGGCTACAGAATATTATTTGATATATAATTAATTGCATTGTTATATTGCTAAACAATTATATAACTGGTACAATTATTAATTACATGGCAAATAATACGTGGTGATTAGTTGCGACCTCGGTTAATGAAAAATAAATAATAAATAAAAAATAGATAATAAATAAATATGTAGTTTTGACATATAGGTAACTGATTTGTAAGCGTGGAAAATATTTCTTAATATCGTAAAACGTGGATAGGGCTCTTCCTGATGTATAGTAGATTGATTTTGGTTAGTTACTCGCTTTACATTTTGGTATTGAAAATTTGGCAACATTTTAATGGATTTCAAAAATCATGTTTCTGACGCGTTCACTACTTGACCAACTTGGGTTGTTTTATTTGATGTAGTTATTTCGCAACTCATTATTATTTAAACGTAGAATATGCTAATAATTCAATAATTAGCCGAAAAGCCAATAATTTGTTTATTATGTTGGTATTTCAGAGCACAGGACACGAAATCTCATAAAACGCTTGGTCTATTCATATATCTCGTTGTGGTAGTGCTATTGATTTTAATAAATGATATGATAATCAAAGGTATACAGTAAACTAATATACAGTACTGAATTCATATCATTTATTTCATTACGTATTATTCAGTACGTACATTTTTGCAAATAATTACATTTGATTGAGTATGAATTGTACATGATTATACATACGATTATGATTATAAATATCTACAACGTAATTATAAATATTTAATTGAAATTAACGTTGGAATATCTTCAAGTAAGATCAATATTTATATATGTATGTACTTTTATTATATTTTACGTAGTACTCACTAACCTTCATTAGTTGATTTTTCTGACTATAAAATATCATCTATAATCTTGATTATAATTTAAAATCAGTTGATTAAAAAATCAGTGTCTTTTTAATCAATCGATGATAATATTTGAACAGTCGATAATATAAGAATTGGTAGATAAACATTTAATTTTTATAAGTATTTTGTTTTCATATATTGGTTATTTTTTTAAGTAAATTGCAGTTATACATGGGATTAAAATAATGAAAATATCAGGCGATGAAAGTAAATATTAGTTTAGTTTAAAAATTAGTTTTTCTTGGCATGTATTTTCGAAATGAAAGATATTGTTGAGAATAACAATTACTATTAACGTTTTGACTCTTTTAAATTTGGTTGATCCTTAACAAACCTCGAACTCTTTTCACGTAGACTTTGATATACAATAGAATGTGCGGTTCTTTCCGAGCAAGAGCTTTTCGATTTTGATTTCTGTTTACTTTTCCCATTAGATACTCGTCGAACAGTCTCTTCGATAAATCTTTGATCTTTCTCGTTCATATCAGCTATCAAATTGCTTCTTTGATATCCCTCTGGCCCTCTGTAATTATGAATTAAACAACCAATAGATTCAATTATTGATCCTGGAATGAATTATTTCACTCTAATGATTCCATCATATATATTTATATCGTTACTAAATTAAAGTCATTATTAAATTACAAAATTAATTTCTGCTTATCAATTTAATTTAAATTGAACGTAAACTCGAACTATTAAATTAAAATTAAAAGTCCACTTATATAGTTGAAAAATACACGTGCGGCCATGCTTATAATTATATGCCACGTATATTTTGCATATTCCTGTTTGATGTTATAATGTAATATCCTTTCATAATATTGTGGGAACTATTATAATGCGCGTCGTCCGACATCCAGAAGGCTAAGGACAAGTGAAAAGGGAAACATCCCCTGTCTAGCGCTAAGGATGAAGCTCTCGTATCTCTTTACGCGAAATTTGAAGCGGCATTCTCAGCGACACATTACGGTGGACGTTTCGCTAATGAAACGACTAAAATGCGGAGAGTGTAGCCCCAGTTTAAGAGATAGGGGCCGCGACGCGATGCTCTGGCAAAAAGTGAGAACTCTACGCTATACGATATTTGCCTTTTTTTTTTTTTTTTTTTCTCTCGTATTTCCCTTCCGTTCGTTCTTTTTATCGTTCTAACGAATACGTGTGTCAATTTCATTTCATTTGTTACATTATTCATTTCCTTATGGCAACATATTACGTTTAATCTCGACCGATTACTCGCAAGAATGAAGTTAATTTTTAAATTGTAATTTGACGAAGTGTAGAATCGAATAATTTTACGTACCTTTGATAACTATTGTACATTTTCGCGATCAATTTATGTAGATACGTGTTATCCTTTTGAATCGACTTCAATTCTGTTTCTTTCTCCTGAAAGTCCATCAGTTGTGATTGAAGTACCCTTTCTAATTTCTAATTTATTATGGCATTAAACTGTTGAAGGGGCTGTAGTAATAAAGAGGTAATTTCAATCAAAATTAAAATCTTTTAAGTATGTTTTTGCGCTTTTGAATGTGGATTGAATTGTAATAGATCATGGGCACTTGTAGTTGTATATTTTACGATATTAATTTCTTCGCGCGTATATATGTGTGTGTAAATTGTAACATTCTCAGATCGGTCTAAAATTTTACCAATATAATCATGACAATCATGTCTTGCTATAGTACCAATGAAATTTTAAAATTTTCAGTAAATAGCGGCAACTTCGACTATAACAAAAATTATATGATAGAATTCATAACACACGTGATGTAAAAGTTTTCCGTGATAAGTTCAAATACTTCCACGAAGTACAATATCTTTCTTGCTCTCTCGACAAGATGCCGTTTAAATACTAGAGCCATCTCTTTATTACTGTGAAGCCTTTCGATCGTCACCTGCAACGCATTCGTCGCAGTTTTGAGTTCTTCGTAACGCGTGTCGGAAAGGTGTCGAGCCGTGATCGTTTCCGTAGTGAGTCGCGTCAATTGCTGTCTGTAATTATGTTCACGTTCCATAGTCTTGTCCCACGCTTCTTCTCGCGCGATTATAGTATCTCGAAGAGTCTGCATGTCTTTTTCCAATACTTCCAGCTCCGATCTATCGTAATACAGCAATCAGTTCGTTTTAACGAGGTAAATTTCAAACGAAGTTGCCGCATTTGCCGTCCGATCGCGTATCTCGAGTTATTCTTACGAACGCATCATTCGATATAAAAAGAAGGATAATGATGTACAAGAAAGAGTATTTACTTGGTAATGGTGACGGTGGGTGGTTGTTTCTCGCAACTTTCCAGTTTTCTCTGACAAGCCATGCATACCGCCCAGACTTGAATTCCACGATCGCTTTTAGATATAATGTTCGTTGTCGACGTTCCGCTCGTTTCAACCGTTGGCATTTGTTCCTTCTGGAAAGTCAAAGTGAAATGTAATTCCTTCGGGAAAAGTTAATTGCACATGGATGCTCATACTTTTGCTTGTTCCGCTTCTTTTCTCATCTCGTTGATCTTCGATCTTTCAAAATCTAGCTCCTCTCGCAGTAACGTCAGCCTTTTCTCTAGTCGTTTCACTTCGTTCCGCTCCTCTTTAAGTCTTACAGACGGATCGTATGTTAGAAACAGAGACAATACGCACAGAACAGTGCAGTACTTTCTTTTAGCAAAGAAAAGGACAGAAAGAATAGATAGTAACAAGTACGTACGTATAAGAAAAATTAGTTCGAAATTGTGAAATACGAATCCAGAACGCGAAACGTGAAAACGTTATTAAGTATATTGATATTAAATAGAGACAACGTCAGAATGAAATTACAGTTGGTAATCGAAAAGCGTGACTCAGCGTAGGGCAGATTTTTATTCCACGCGGGAATAACAAAATGGCTTCCGTCATGAGTGAGACTTCTTTCTTTAATGCTTTTTTGCAAAGTAGAAGTTTGACGCAGTCAAATACGCGGAGTATGCATATAATAAATAGAATGGAAGATCGTCTAAAATAAAAGCTCTTTAAAACTTTCAAACTCGAGAAGGACGAATAGAAAATCGCAAGACGGGATAATGATATATGCACGTCCAACAGGATTAATTGAAAATTATTTGAAAATCCATCGAAAGAGAAACTCGTATTCGAAGACGATCGATGTTGATGACGTAAATAAAGATCAAGTATCTCTCGATCATCCATCTCATCGGCTGATCCGTATATTCACGTGCAAGCCAGAAGAATATCGATTGAGGTTGTCCATTGTCCGTGTATTAATACTCACTGAGTCGCGAAGGCTTTGTTCTCAGTGATAAGATTTTGATTGCGCGTCTGCATAACTATATTGCTGTCTTCGAGGAACTTCATTTTCGTCTGCATCTTCTCCAGAGTGATCGCGTCCCCGTGTTTCATTGCCTCTTGCTTGAATGTTGGCGTCATTCTTCCGGTTTGCATTCGAGTGTCTCCATACGACGGATCACCCCTCGCTACGAGATGAAGAAGGAAAAAGAATTTCCATTTTAATAAATTGTACGCGTTTTATTGCAGTCGGAGATCTTTCTTCTCTTTTAGTTTTAAAGAACGCGTTAGAACTTATTGTCTGAATGGTCTATCAATGTTTGCACTGCCATAATGAAATTCACGACAATTCACAACCATCTATCAGTTATGTGGAGATAGAATGGGATTGTAAAGCTTAAATCAACAAAATTGAAAATATATATAAAAGATACATGATGCAAGGGATAACACGAGTATTTATTCGTTTAAGTCCTGAATGGAGCAGTATATAAAATGATCATGAAAATTCGAATAAAATTCTGAAATTCTCTTTCTTTGAAATTTTAAAATTTCGTCTTCGTGTCTCGACGAAAGTTATAAAAGGCTCCTAAAAAAACTACGTGTCTACGTTTTTCTTGCAGTTAACGCATTAAATATTCAGTGAAGCTGCCTGAATATTGCAATATGTCGTCTTTCCAACTGTAATAGACTGTTATATATCGCACGCAACTTGTGTCAAAAGCAGCATGCACGAGAAACATTTTGGAAAAGTAGTTGGAAAAGTATCAAGAGCAATCGATATCAGAGTGCATAATATCCTCGATGGCTGATGTCGAGCTGACGTTTCGAATAGATGAAATGGATCATCCCTTTTTCCATGGAATTTTGTCAGCTACTCACAATTAGAAGGATCGGCGAACTTTAAAAACATCATTTTACCTGTGGTCGAAGTGTCGGGGCTGTTTCCTTCCTGAATTTCCAGCGTTCTCCATCCAGCACAATAACCTGCGAGTATAAGCAGACGTGAAAGTACAAAATGATAAATTCATCGAATTCTATCAATGCTTTTCTTACCTATTAATCGTATGGGCTATTAAAAAAAAACTTTTATAATCGTGAAATTAAAGATTAATAGTAAAAACAACATTTTTGTGTATCTGAATTTCTATAACTGTGTAAAAATCCATGGTGTACTTAAATTTCTTTAAGTCGTATAAAAATCTCTTAAAAAGTTTTTTGATTTTTTAAAATTAAAATAGTAGTTAATTAAAGTAGTAGTAAATTAAAGTAATTTTTAAATTTTACAATATTTTAATAAGGTTCTAATAATCAGAAACGAGATTACCAACATGATGAGATCGATATTACAAAAGCAACTGTGAGATTCACAACATCATAATTTAATTAGATACAAGATATGTATTTCCGCGATGTGATTATATGTACACTCACAGATATTCATCAGATATTAAAGATGCTGGAACATTCTTTTATTTTGTCGAAAGATAAAAAAACGTGCATAAAGATTATTTTTTATGAACTTTCCAATTTATTCGTAATAGAAATTACACCATAAAAGATAAAGACAAAAGGACTTTTAAATAAACGAGTTAACTCGTCTATTTCGTTTAACAGTTCAATCAATGGCTATTTCGGAGAATTTAATCTCTCCGTAATAGAGAACGAAATATCTTTTATAATACGCTCTGGACGAGATATTTTGCAACGCAGTTTCGTTTCATGCAACACGCTTTAAATAAAATTTAATATCATTTACGTGCTAACAATGTGGATGAAATACCATGCTCGTGCATTAGAATTATATGCAATTATATCGGAAATCTGTTTGTAAAAATATTTTCTTCATCTAACACTGCTAATTTTTCATATTCACAACCAACAAATGTGTCTTATAATGTTGTGCAAATTGATTTTAACCAGATTGTTGGATAAATTATCTGTAGTTCTAAAGGCCTCGTTCAAAGCACACGAATGATATTGTATGTGCGTTGCAAGATCTTGTACAAACTATTATTGTTATATTACGAAGAATATCCTCGAGTGAAGTATTTCGCTCATGGGTGCGATGAATTTAATCACAATATACGTACCGCTTCTGTAAATCTCGGGGGTTATAACTCTCGGCGAGTAGGAAGGAGACATATAACGATTGTACTGGCCGTCGAAGTAATTTTTTTCCTTTGAAGGGTTTGTTTGTTGGTAGTGAACGCAAGACATCTCAGAAATAAGCTACTCGGAGGAAAATGCGAGAAAGAGATTCCCAAGATTTCCGACTCGCCTTATCCGATTGTCAATATCGCTGGAATTGTGATCTGGGCGGATGTCTGAAACTGAATGACAGATCCACTGCGATTTGAATCACGAGAAACTTCTCTCGCTCTTTTCGCCTTCACATAATACCGTGAGTGGTCTTTTAAAGGAGAACAGAAAGGTTTCACGGGCGACGAATGCGGCCCCTATCACTCTGAAATTTTCCCCGATGTTTTCTCGTCGTCGATCTTTTGTTCGACTTTAAATGTAAACTAAAAAGCTTCACGCGCTTTGTGAAGCTGTCTGACAATAGTAAATAAAAAATTGCGTGAGTGCAGTTGCTCGTGGACAGGGGAAAGATTCTCTTTTTAATTTTGCTTTTGCCTACCCATGCAGAATAGTTATATCACGTTTTTTGCAGTTTTTTCGAAACTTTGATCTAGCATGCGATTTTATTTAATACGGAGTACAGTGCTACAGTGATAGTACATGTTTTGAACTAATAATTATACTAAGTAAATTTGAACCTTGAGAAGTCCGAGAATTGATTACCATATTTATATCGATATAAATATAAATAATAAATATATTTCATGCATATTATTCATACCATTTACGAATCTTTTATCAAATATGC